ATGAATATTCAGCTATTGTTGGATGAGTGCTCTGTAATTGTCAAATCAGTGCATGAAAACACCAGCTCACTTTTATTGTCTGGTTTTGTATGCAACAAGATTTCTTTTTGCCACTTCTGTGGATACTCAGGAGAATTTCAGTTTCCAATGATAACTGATGGTTTGTCCCCTCCTCTTTTCAGACATATCACTGTTTTGTCTTGTGTGTTTTGATGCTCATTTGTTAGATACATTACATATTTGATATTGTTATGCTTTTGTACAAAGTTATCTTGTCCTCATAACATAATATCCATCTGTATCCTGAGAACTTCTTCTAACTGATGTTAATGTGGACATTTCAAGTATGTGTTAGTGTTTATGTATTTATATCTATCACATATTATCTGTCATGTATTTCTGTCAGGCCTCTTCCAATTAATCTGTGTTTTACCTATTTATTATAACGAAAAGTCTACAATGAAATCAAATTGCTTCATTAAAAGTCTTATTAACAATATGTCTTTTAATTATTGTTTAGGCATATAATATTTAATATAAACCTTAACACATATGGATTCTGTCTATCCTTTCATGACCATATTTCTGTTAGTTTCCTTGTTTTTATCCATCTTATTTTCTTCTCTCCTCTTTTGTTTTTTGGGGGGGAATTTATTATTTATACTATTACAATTTTGCTGTAGTATGAACACTTAACACTAGATGTGCCTAGCTGATCAATTGCAGGTGTTACAGCATTGTTTCTTTCTATACATGCAACACATGACAAGTCAGATCTCAAGAAGCCATCCACTTCTCTTCCCTAATGACTGCATTCCTACCTTTTGCTGACTCCTCTTCTACCCTATCCTTCAAACCTTGGTAACCACAATTCTAGCCTTTGATCTTAGGAATTTAACTATTTAAGGTTCTTCTTGTAAGTGTTTAGTGTTTGTCTTCTTGTGCCTGATTTTGTTTGTTTGTTTTGTTTACCTAACAAATCCTCTAGATCCATCCATGTTGTGATATATTGCAGAACTCCCTTCTTCTGGGTTGAATAGCATCCGATCACCTATTGTATTTTAGCAATATTGTGACTTTTTGTTGATTTCTTTTAATGGCAGTCCAATAAATTAAAGCATAGTATAGTATCACTTTGCTAATGTCCTTAGAGTCAATGTTTCATCATTGCCCTAGCTCCTCTATGTTGCAATTAGATATCTGTACCTACATTGAAAAATCTTCTCAGGAATATAATAATTGGTTTTTCCCATGTATGTTTACATGTTCACATTTCTATAGTACACACAAGTATGTAGGCATATGTACAAGCATGTTCCTATGTGTATATGTTTATGTATATGTGCATATATGTGGTGTGAACGTTCAGAGCTCTTGTTGGAAATCTTCCTCGATAATTTCTGAGTTTTTCTTTTCAATTTTCTGTGTCAGGCTCTATCTCTCTGAACTTGTAGCATGCTGGCTACCAGCTTGTTTGGGATCCTCTGTCTCCATAATTCTAGGATTACAGGTAGCTGCCATATGTGCCCTAGCCATTACATGGGTGATAGGTAATTGAACGATGATTATCTTTGTAGGGTTGTTATTGCCGTGACAAAATATCATGACCAAAAGGCAAGTTGAGAGGAAAGGGTTTATTGGGCTTACATTTCCACACTGGAGTCATTTCTGAAGGAAGGCAGGACAGGAAATTAACAGAACAGGAACTTGGAGGTAGGACCTGGTGCAAAGGCTGTGGAGGGGAGCTGTCTGCTTGTCTTGTAGAACCCAGGACTACCAGCCCATAGATGGCACCACCCACAATGGGCTGCTCCCTCCCCAATCGATTGATAATCAAGAAAATACCCAATAGCTGTATCTTATAGAAGCATTTTCTCAACTGAGATTCCTTCCCTTCAGATAACTCCAGCTTGTGTCAAGTTGACTTAAAACTGTCTAGCACACTGGTCTTCTCCCATGTGTAGCAAACACTGTCTGTGGAGATACCCTCATACCCTAATGATTATCTGAACCTTCTGTGCACTGGCCTGCCTGTATTGTGCTTTGCAGCTTCAAGTCTTTTGTTGTTTTGGCAGGATATTTGGAATAAGGCCACAAATCTCAGCTAATCTGTGGCTGGCCGTACTGTAGTTCTCTTTGGGACCACTCCTTCTATACTCATCTTCCAATGCCTCCCCCCTTTTTTTGAGACAGGATCACACTCTGTAGCCCTGACTCTCCCAGAACACACTATGTAAACCAGGTTGGTCTTGAACTCACACTCGATCCACCTGTCTCTGCCTCCTGAGTGCTAGGAGCAAAGACATGAACCCAATGTAACCTCAATGGCCTGTCTGGAAGAGTGGCAGTCTTGTGGCTTGTTTTTCAATGCATATGTTACCACACTGAGCATCAGAGTCAGCTTGCTGATGAGCCCTGGAGTTAGAAACAATCTTGTAGCCTTATTTTCCTATATATTTCTGTCTGCAATATCTGTACGACTTCGGGGTTTCATGGGCCCCTTATCCTCCTCTTGGCAATTTTCTAGCCAGGATTGAGGTTTATTAACCTTATTCTCCTGTGCACATCTCATGTTGTAGGAAGAGACAGAGAAAAATAAATATTAACAGGTGACGGGAAAGTACCGTGTATATGTAAATAAAGTACTGTTGGCCAATAGGAAAGCAAGATAGGTGGGACTAGGAATTTAGGAGGATTCTGGGATATGCAGTGAAGGGAGCCTTCGCCATGTGATTCCCGGGAGGAGGGGACACAAGTCTGTGTTCTCAGGAAGCTAAGTCCTTATAAAAATGTATATTGGTAATTATGGGTCAATAATTAAGTCAGAGCTAGCCAATGAGAAACAATAGCAAATATCTAACAGCTTCATAATTAATATAGTTTCCTGTGTGTTATTTGGGGGTTCAGGGCCCAGGCGGCAGGCCAAAAGAATAAGCATTACGAATAGGAGTTCATGACACTCTGTTGGAACCCCAGCTCCTTATAGCTATGGGGCCAGTTCTCAGTCCTTGGAGAAACAAGTGCCTAAGTATCTCTAGAGACACTCTTTTGTTGAGGTCTCTACTTCAGACACTGGATGGGCAGTGACCCTGGGAAAGGATGAGAAAATGTAAGAGGAGAGAAGGCTAGGAAATCCTTTCTCAGTCTTCAATCTTCACCTATACCCTTGGTTATACTTAATACCCACGAATAAGTCTTGGACTGACTCACAGTCTAAATCACTAGATATGAAAGGGGGGGAGCTGATAAGCTTTGGATTCTTATTTTTTCTTTTTTAGTTACTTTTTTCTTTTATTTAAATTAGAAACAATCTTGTTTTACATGTCAATCCCAGTTCTCTCTCCCTTCCAACCTCCCCTGCCCCCGACTGAGCCCCTATCCCATCCCCTTTCCGCTCCCCAGGGAGGGTGAAGCTTTCCATGGGGGATCTTCAAAGTCTGTCACATCATTTGGATCAAGGCCTAGGTCCACCCTCCCCCCACTCCTTGTGTCTAGGCTGAGAGTGTATCCATCTATGGGGAATGGGCTCCCAAAGTTCATTCATACACTAGGGACAAATACTGATCCACTACCAAAGGCCCCATAGACTGCCCAGGCCTCCTAACTGACACCCACATTCAGGGGGTCTGGGTCAGTCCTATGGTGGTTTCCCAGTATGGAGTCCATGAGCTCCCCCTTGTTTCTGTGGGTTTCTCCAGCCTTGTCTTGACCCCTCTGCTCATCTCTTCTCCCTCTCTGCAACTGGATTCCAGGAGTTCGGCTAAGTTCTTAGCAGTGGGTGTCAGCTTCTGCTTCCATCAGCTACTGGATGAAGGCTCATGTTGATCTTTTTGTGATGGGTTACCTCACTCAGGGTGGTTTCTTCCAGTTCCATCCATTTGCCTGTGAATTTCACGATTCCATTTTTCCCCTGCTGAGTAGCACTCCATTGTGTAAATGTACCACATTTTCTCTATCCACTCTTCAGTTGAGGGGCATCTAGGTTGCTTCCAGGTTCTGGCTATTACAAATAATGCTGCTGTGAACATAGTTGAACAGCTGCCCTTGTATGAATGTCCATCCTTTGGGTATATGCCTAAGAATGGAATTGCTGGGTCTTGAGGTAGACTGATTCCCGTTTTCCCGAGGAACCACCATACTGATTTCCAAAGTGGCTGTATGAGTTTGCACTTCCAGAAGCAGTAAAGGAGTGTTACCCTTTCTCTACATCCTCATCACAATCCCTGACTTCAAACTCTATTACAGAGCTATCGTACTGAAAACAGCTTGGTTTTGGTACAAAAATAGACAGGTAAATCAATGGAATAGAAGTGAAAAACCCTGCTATTAACCCACACACCTTCGAGCACCTGATTTTTGACAAAGAAGCCAAAATTATACATTGGAAAAAAAGAAAGAATCTTCAACCAATGGTGCTGGCATGACTGGATGCTAGCATGTAGAAGACTGCAGATAGATTCATATCTATTGCCATGCACAAAACCTAAGTCCAAATGGATCAAAGACCTCAACATAAACCCTGCCACATTAAACCTCTTAGAAAAGAAAGTGGGAGGTATCCTTGAATGAATTGGTACAGGAGACCACTTCCTGAACATAACACCAGTAGCACAGACACTGAGATCAACAATTAACAAATGGGATCTCCTGAAACTGAGAAGCTTCTCTGTAAGGCAAAGGACACAGTCAACAAGACAAAAATGCAGTCCACAGAATGGGAAAAGATATTCACTAATCCCACATCTGACAGAGGGCTGATCTCCAAAATGTACAAAGAACTGAGGAAGCTAGTCTCCAAAACACCAAATAATCCAATTAAAAACATTGGGTACAGAACTAAATAGAGAATTCTCAATAGAAGAGTCTAAAGTGGCTGACACACACATAAGAAAGTGCTCACCATCCTATGCACATCTCCAGGTTTTACAGATGCAATAAGAAGGATGGTGTCTCAGTTAGGGTTTCTATTGCTGTGATTAAACAATGTAACCAAAAACAAATTGGGAATGTAAGGGTTTATTCTGGCTTACAATTCTCAGGTCCATTGTACAGGGAATACAAGCCAGGGACCTTGAGGCAGGAACTGAAGCAGAGCAATGAGGGAGTGCTGCTCTCTGGCTTCCTATTCATGGCTTGTTGAGCCTACTTCTTCAAAGCATCCAGGACCACCAGCCCAGGAGTGGCCCCACCCACTATGAGCTGGGTCCCCTGCATCGATCATCAATCAAGAAAATGCACCACAGGCTTGCCCACAGGTCAGTCTAACAGGGCACTTTCTTAGTAGTGGTTCCTTCTTCCAAAATGACTTAGTTTGTTACAAGCTGACATAAAACAAGCAGTCGGGGTTGTATGTGTTTTGCTTCATCTTGCTTGAGGTGCCAACCTGGGAATAATGTGAATGTTATTGAGAACCCTCTATGAGAACTGTCTGGGAGACCATACAAGGTCGATAAGGACAAGTTGGCAATGCGTCCTGGAGTAATGACTCCTGTAAATGACTCCTGTATTTAAATAGCGATGCTTCTTTATAGTGAAATAAAGCATTGTGACCATTGTATCTGTTCAAAACATATAAAACAAGAGGCAGAATGTAGGGCCACCTTGTCCAAATGGTGCCAAGAAAACAGAACTTTGCTGTCACTCCACTGAATCTAGTTGATCAGCAAGTCTCTCACACATAAGAAATTTGTTTTGTTTATTCTCTCTGTTTGGTTAATATGCATGAAATAAATACTAATAACTTTCCATCTTAAATGCAAATCTGCCATCTTCATTGGACCTAGTTATGAGAAAGAGGACATTCTATAAACATGGACTGGATATTTCTGCTTTCATGTGTGTGTGAGTCTGAGACACAGTGAAGCTAAAGGCAGGGAGGGCTATGGAATCGTTGGGAACACAGTATCTTGGAACAAGGTAAACCTGGCTGCATTGTCCAGAAGAGGTTTCTGAGTCTAAGATCTCAGAGAGAGAGGCTGGCAGGAAACCTGGCTGTATCCAGGGCACAGTGGTTCAACAAATGTGGGTTCCTCCCTACTGCTATCCTTCCCACAAGAGACGTCCTCCCCGGCATAATTTATACCCTTTGGCTCCTCTTTAACTCTGAAATTTCCAGCAAGGATGCTGCTTAGCGCCAAAGCCGCAGTGGTCCTTGTGATGTGGTTCCTCTGTGAAGAAGGACCCGAGGAGCGTTTCACACAGGCACCAAGTGGCCAGATGGCAGCAGCTGATCCACTCTGCATGTGACTCTCATTCGGTCCCTGGTGGATGCTCCTCATGACATGTGAGTCAGTTCACTTCACAGGTGCTGTCCTTTACTGCCCGCATGATGAGTCACCCTGTTCTGTCAGGAAAGGGGGAGTTCAAATGTCATGAACATCTACACCAAACTTGAAGCCGATTTTAGCTGCAGGTCAACTTATGAGAATCAAAGTCACCTTGCTAATCAAAATGATGGCCTGGCCCTTAAGCACATCATCTTGTTACTAAGGAAGACATAAACTAAGGCTGCTCAGTCAGTGTGCATGCAGAGGGACCACCCTAAGCAGGCAAACAAAGGTATGGTACCCACTCCATTCTTGTTGCTTGTCAATGGATGTGTGCACTTATGCCCCAGAAGTCTCACCTTGACTATTGCTGCCTCTTCAGTTTGTAGGCAACTGCTAGTCCGTTCCTTGTCCCTTAGTTGAACTAATGATCTGTGCCTAATTAGTCCCTACTTCCAGTCCTACTTACTCAGGGTAAGATGATCTACTTTGATTTCTGCATGAAAGGTCTCTGTCCAAAGAAACAAGGAGAAATTATAATCAGCTCCATCCTGTTCCTAAATCTAAATCCTGCAGATTCCACCTTCCCAATGGGAGGGCTATGTCCTCCATTCTATCCACAACTTAGGAGAACTTGATTAAGATTTTTTGACACTTTGGATGCTGAGCTTTTTTATGGAGCTAGTGACTTGTTATGTGACATCCTCTTGCAGTACTGAGCAGGGCAGAAAGCACAGCTGTCACTCAGTCCCTCAATCACAAAAGGAATGGTCACCATTCTACAGGGTACTGTTACTAAACTGTGACACAGGATGAGTTCACTAAATGCATTTGTGAGTCATGATATTTTCTACCAGCAATGGCTTTCATGCACAGTATCCAACGGCAGGTCTAGAAACATGTACCTGGTTCATGCCTTCAAAGAGGTAATTACCCACAAGGACCCTGGAGATCCTATCTATTCTGTGCTCTGTTAGTCTCACCATTTATGTTTCCTTTCTGTCCTTTAGGGTTGATGAATAAACATGCAGTAAAAACTTCCCTACAGAAAAGTGTTAGAGTTTCAGTCACTCACATCTAATAAAATAAAGTCACACTTAATCTGATTGTGCACACACACATACACACACATAGGATGCATTCATACACAGTACAAAACAGGCTTGCAGACAGAGTGGACAGTCCATAGCCATACAGGAACAGCTGTCCCTGCTGACTCTGCTCAAGCTACTTGGAGACTCTCAGGCATCGTGAGCTGAGTGCGTGCAGAGGTCTGGAGTATCACACATTCTCTCTGTGTCCATTCCAGGCACTCGGACCCTAAACCATGGCCACTGCTTCATTCCACCACCTGTCATGCTTGCTTGGTACAGAGAGGACAACTCGGTTTTCTACCAGCCTGATCCGTAATCGAGTTCTGCCCATCAGCACCTCTTCTGGTTGCTGGAGAGGAGCAGGTTCTGGGTCCCGTGGCTATTCCCTGAGCTGGGTACCCCTCCTTGTGGTTTCTCTCTTGTCAGGTCTTGTTCTGGGGAAAACCTCCTGGGGATAATTCTGAGTCGATCGCACATAAACCTGTTGGAGTTCTTCACAGGCATGTGGTAACATATCTGAGTCCAGAACCTGGAACTGGGTTGGACCGATTTCAAGCCTTTCCATGTGACAGTGGGAAGAACCCGAAGAGCCTTTTTGACTAGATATGGTAGAGATTCTGGCACTTGGAAAGAACAGAACTTAATTAAAATTAACTTCAGTGTCTGATCAACCAAGGCAAGGTTCACTGCTGCTTGTAGTTCAAAGACACAGGGTCCGTTGACATAGCTGGGACTCAGGATAAATATTCCTCTTCGGCTTTTCTTAATGATGCTCACAATATCATCTGCATACACTGGAAACAAATACATTAATGACTTTCTATCAATATCATTAAAACTTGAGTCACAACAACTTTGACCCTCCAAGAGATGCCTGCTGGGTTTCTTCTAAGTTGGCTACTCTTGGGCAAAGAGATTAAAGAGGGGAGTTTCTTCTGCCACCTTTATTGTCATCACTCTGGACTGTTGAAGATAGTCACCAGTACCCAGAGACTGTCCCCTACTCAGTCTCCCTAAACCACCATCCAAACCATCTAAGTCACAGTGGAGCATGACTGAGGGATACGGTATATCCCAGCTTGATACTGTATATCCCAGCTTGATACTGTATATCCCAGGCTGATACAGTGTATCCCAGCTTGATACGGTATATCCCAGGCTGATACGGTATATCCCAGGCTAATACAGTATATCCCAGGCTGATACGGTATATCCCAGGCTATTACAGTATATCCCAGGCTGATACGGTATACCCCAGGCTGATACAGTATATCCCAGGCTGATACGGTATATCCCAGGCTAATACAGTATATCCCAGGCTGATACGGTATACCCCAGGCTGATACAGTGTATCCCAGCTTGATATGGTATATCCCAGGCTGATACGGTATACCCCAGGCAACTTGTAGAAGTATCTGAGGCAGGGAAGGCTAGCAGGCCATTTGAGGCCTGGATGCTTCATGGGTTACTTCCAGCTGACCATCCTGCTGCACCTCATGCTGAGAATTTGAAGAGTAAAATTCTAGAAGCTAGGATGAGGTTTGAGATGAGGCAGATTATTTCCCACAAAGAATCCAAGAAAAAAAAAACTTTGAAACCTTTGCCCTGGATGGCCTTTCCAGAGCCTTCTATTATTTATTATTCTCCTAAAAATAGGTATTTTTAGAAGACATGAGTGTGACTCTAGAACACACTTTTCTGTATTCTTGCCCAAGATGATCTAATGTCTTTTTTTAAAAATCCCACAGAAGATGCATATCACACAGGAGAAGTGATAGAAAAAGCTTTGAGCTACAGTGCTCTAATTGGTTTCTCGAAAGGGTACACCTACCTCCTCCTGGGGTCACATCCCTTTCAAGCAAACACAGGGTGTATCCATATTTGTTTTCTAGCACTTCTGGGAAAAGATTCAAGGCCAAGTGTTCCTCACTCAGTGGTCCAGTGGCTTCGCTCTCGAGAGAGCTCTGGTTTGCATAAGATATAAAGGCATCAAACTCCTTCTTGTCTGAGGAAAAAGAACAGACGCATAGCCAGTGTTCTTTCTTTTTCTTAACTAACATGGTATGTACAGACAGTCAGCGCATATGCTAAATGGATAAGAAATGAGATTTGGGACCCTTACAAAAATGAATTAAAAACAAAACCAGCAGATGTATCCATTTTAAAATCACACCGCCCGAGTGGTTTTGATTGTCCATGTAAAACCCAATGATTAATTTATGAAGCGCCCCTGTGTCTTCCCTGGGGATAGATCAAACAGCGGGGGCCTCCCATGATTGAATCACGTGTGATCGGGAGGGCGCCTTTCTTTGCATCTGCAGTGTTTCTGGCTCATTAGTTAGACATCAAAGAGGAGTATGCTCCATTAAAGCATGATAATAACCAGAAAGCTAAGATCAGAACCTCGAATCCATCCGAGGGATGACGGCACACTTAAAGTCGTGCACCAGGAACTGTGGGCTCAGTCAAGAGTGGACGCATGCGTAGTGGAAGTCCAGTAAGATAACACACAGGTGATCCCTATCACTTAGCTACCACAATATTGCAGTGCATCACATTCCTCCCATGTACAGTGATGCTGTTGTGGTCCACTATGTGCTTGGCATACAGAAGTATAGCAGTGCAACCATGCCCAGTATGTAATGCATGACAATCTATAACTGAGTGACCGGCCTAAACATTTACCGTAGCATACTTGTCATCATGTAGAATAATGCCTGCTTCTAAACAGTGTTTGCTCTAATTAGAGTGATCACCAGCAGCAGCCTCCCTCACATATCTGGTGTGTATCAAGTCTCTTGATTGGATAATTTTGCTCTTCTACTTAATTGAATGTTGGTTGTTTTGCTCATCATAAACCTAGGAACATTCGGGATACATCTCTATACATCTACATAAATAGCACACGTGTGTGTAGTAATAGACGTATATACACATACTTTCCAGAGAGCCCACAGCCTAGTGTGTGGTTGGCTATAAGATCTAGATTTATACAGCATTTTGTTTCTACACAGAAAGGTAGCCTAGAGGATATATTTGTCCCTAAGTGGCACATAACAGTGCTTGTATCTGAATCTGGGGGTGTAGGGTGAGGTCAGAGGAGGCTCCCCAGCTGTCAAGGGTTACATGACGTAAAGCATATGCTATGCTACAGTCTCTGGCTCTTACCCAGCCTCCCCCCTCTATATTTGAGAAGCTACATTTATAGACATTGTTTTAGGATACTGTGAAGGGTTTATGTGTTCCTGTCAGGCAGGCAAGTAATGAGCCATGCTAAAAAACTATCTAGAAAAGACAAACAAAAACAAAAACAAAAACTCCACAAGTTAACTTGCAGGCTTTGGGATGGAGTTTATATTGCAGCCCGTTTCATAACCTCCACACACAGTGTTGTTACAGGTAACTAGTATCCCAGAATGTTTGGCTGTGTACTTGCCCAGTGTGGATTCAATGAGAGGCCTTAGGCACTGCCATCCACAAGGAAAACCAAACACTGAGACTCAAGACAGGGGTACAGAGTAAAAGTTCCAGAAGCTGCTTTGTGAAGTACTTGATTGCCCATATAGGAAGGAGGAAGTTTAGGGGATGTGACCTGCAGGTAAGTGCTGATGTCTTTATGTGTAACACACCGTGGCTGCCTCTATTCCATCCATTATCTTTAAAAAAAAGCAAAAAACAAAAAAACCCAAGGTTTTTCTATTATAAAACAGATACAGTTATTTAGTAATTAAATTACGGAATGTGCTTTTAGAGGACCTGCTTATATCCTTCTAACACTATTTCTTTCTAAATTAAATTTAAATAGTCACAAACTCTTGGGCTTCAATTTTGTGGGCAAACATCAGTCTGAACAGCAGAGGGCACTAAATCACCATGCTTGAAAACCCAATTACTGCATAGTTAAAAAACAAAATGGGAAAGGACAAATTTGAGTATTTCCCGGTCAACTGACTCTTCTTCAAAAACTCTAGACTCTTAAGATAAAAAGCATTTTAGTGAAAGAAGCGAGGAATCACCTGGGCAGATTGATTACGCATTTGTTCCATTCAAATTAACAGGCTAATTGACCAAGCTAAAATTCTGAAAATACTCTTTGCTTAATGATTTCAAAGGATGCTATCGATAATTAATCTAAAGAAAGCTATGACATATGCATTTGTCTCCTGCTTTCTTAGCTTGGTTCTGGGTGATTCTTTTTGTTTTCTGGTGTGAGGAGTTGAATCTGGCACATGCTTTACTTCCCTTTCTGGGTGAGGTTACTTCCTCCTGTAGAAGCCACTGGCCTCCAGAGTAGCCTCCCAGGGAGACAGTGTTTCCCTCTGACACCCAGCAGGGAGTGCTTCTGCTCCAAGCACTGTAAATATGCTCATGTGAGGTTTTCCACAGCCAGCAAAGGTTAAAGCAGTCATCTAGTCCCTTACAACACTAATGAGTCTTGTGGGTAAATTAACAGAAACTTCATCAGCATTAATGGGACTTGTATTTTGTACAACTTCCCAATCGTTTGGGACAAATCCCTGGCCTGAAATGTCTTTTTATCACGTGACAATAACACAGATGACGGATTTCATGAAGCCAGCCTATGTATATTTAAGGCCGAGATACAAGCATTTCTAGTGGTCTAATCTGTAGATCTGGCTTCATTCTTCTCTGCCTAAGGAGGCTGTGAGAATGGCAAAGGTCAACACACAGGCAAGGCATGAACTCCAGTCCTTAAACTGAGTTCCTATACACTAAGGTGATGGCGTTGTCCTTCTGTATATGTTTATCTTATTGGTTGATGAATAAAACACTGTTGGCGAATAGGGTAGCAAGACAGGCAGGTCTAGGAGATGTAGAGGATTCTGGGAAGTATAGGCAGAGAGAAGTCATCATGTGATCCCAGAAAGAGAGGACACAAGTTAGACATACTCCAGTAAGAGAAGACCATGTAGAAATACATAGATTAGGAGTTACGGGTTAATAATTGAGACACAGCTAGCCAGTTAAGAAGCCCTAGTCAATGGCCAAGAGTATTACAAGTAACATAGCGTCCATGTGTGTTCATTTGGGGCTGATGTGTCTGTGGGACCAGGCTGGCAGGAAGAACCATCCTTAACACAAAGGCATCATTCTAAATGCATGCCATGCCTAACCCCAGTGAGCTCACACACTATCCTCCACCTACTGCTGTGACAGTCCTGTTTCATGGATGAGGAACCTAAAACACAGAACTGTCACTTGCCTATTAGGTCAGATTAGTTAGCAGCAAGAATACTTTCCAGCCCCACAAATCTCACAAAAGCATCTTCTACAAGGTTCCTGGAAAGTAGAATGGACTAGAATTGTTTCTTCAGTCTTCTCTGGTGTAAAGCCAGAGCTGGAAGAAGACATCAAACCTGAGAGATAAGAAGCCACACATCGGGCATTAGCTCCCTCTGGTTCCCCTCTCACGTGCTCAGCCATCATGAGGCATGTGAAATAATACCTAAGACAACTCTTAAGAAAAGAAAGCCAATGGGTAGGAAGTAACATGTGTCTTGTCACTAAGTCAGAGAATAGCATATTGGGTGATCTTACCCCTCAGAGTCTCGTCCTTGCTCTTGTAGGCTCGGCACAGTAGGACGATTTCAATCCAGTACCAGTAGAGAAAGGCCGCTGCTACCAGAATGCCCACCAGCATCATGGCTGTGCCAAAGAGGATGTAGACAAACACCACTGAGGGAAACAGATCTGTGAGCCAGCACATCTGGACCATCATGCCCCATTATGCAGTAAAAACCACGGCTGCTGCCTATAATCACCTTGCATCTGAGGTCATCTTATGTCTGGATGGAACTGTCCACAACAACTTTGAGAGCCAAGGGGCATGGGAAGCTCCTGGTGGGATGACCTTCAACACTTAGCTGTTTTACTTACTTTTATATCTATAAGGTACAGATCTACACAGATCATTTGTACCTCTCCCATTGCCTATTATAAATTATCATCTTATATTTTCATCCTCGCCAAAATCTAAACATGCCTAGACTGGAAATTACATCAGCTTCACTCTGACTCGTGTGATTCATCTTATAAATAAGAGATCTAGAGAGAACAGCCATTGATACAGTAAACTTATTGAAGGTCAAGCGTGAGTATCGTCACCCTATGGCTCAAAGACATCTACACTTGCATGATTGTGCTACAGTCGTCCACTGAGTGAGTGAAAGACTGATGCCAACCTCATCTATGAACATCTTGCTAAGGAGCAATCTGTTCCTCTGAGGGCATTTCTACTAGCTGTTAGCATGTTCGCTACAAGCCAGCAAAGGCAACCAAGAAAGAGAGCGATGTCTGAATACTGACCCTGCTGAAGTAGGAGTGGGTGGGGCTGGAGATTCTCACAAGTACCAGCAGAATGAATGAGTGAATTGAGTGCATGTGTGAATGAAGGAGTGAATGGATGGGTGATGGAACTGAGTAACTATGTGAGCAGTGGGAGAGTTGAGTAAAAGGTGTTTTCATGGACAGATTAGTAGTAGTTAGGAAGCTGAGGTCAAAATCGGTTGTATGGCCATGGTCAAGGCCTTAACTGAGTTAGCATAGCAAGTGTCTGGCAAGTGTGAGTTGCAAACACTGCCTCTCCTCTTTGGGAAAATGTCCCCCCCTCTTTCACAAAGAGCAGTTATCAATCTTTAGGATCAAAGTTCTAGGCTTACCCCCTTCCTTCTTCCTCAGTTGGATGGTCCTTGTTGTGTTCCCAATGGAGTTCTGGGCAAAGCAAACAAACTTTCTGCTAAGATCTCTTTGAGTGACTTCTCTCAGGAAGATAGTGTGCTCGATGACATTGTTCTTGTAGTTGGATTGAATGCTACGAAAGGAGGGGAAAATTGCATCCCTACTTAGTGGCATCATCTGTCAATCATCCAGTTGTGCTTGGAAGACTGACAAAGAGCTGGTGAGATTTACCATGAGAAGACAGTGGAGGAGCAGGGAGAGATGGAGGAGGCTCTCATTCTTGATCAACTGATGGACTCTGCTAAAGATTTACACTAAGGTGTAAGTTACTTGCACCCTCATCTGAACTTTCCTCTAAGAACTCCCCCCTGGGAATGCAGAATCCCCCAAAATGTAAAGATAATATCAGTCTGTAAAGTATTTGCTTCCTAAGCATGAAGGCTTAATTTCAATTCCCCAGAACCCATGTAAAAAACTAGGCAAGGGAATATGTATTTGTAACCCCCCCCCATTGGGAGAGCTTAGTCAGCAAAAGACTCTGACCTGCCCCCAATACCCATACACACTGCCACCACTGCAGCTGCCACCACCACCACCACCAAAAAGCAAAGTTAGTAGCATTTGAAGAACTCCTAGTCTTCATATTCAGGTGCACACATGTGTATACATACCTATACACACACACACACACACACACACACACACACACACGCACGCACGCACGCGCACGCACACACTTGAGTGCAATCAAACACATGCACATACAGCTAATTTCTCTTGCAGTTTGCTGTCAGGTACTTCACTGGACACTGACTATGAATTCTCCATTCTCTTCCTTTCTCCCTGCACACAAACCCTAGGTGTCACAATGTGAACATCCTAACTTGGTAGCATCAGGGCCAAGGCCCAAAGGATAGATGAGCAGTACTGGGTCACAGTGGTGACACCATCCTGTGGCGTGTCTGGATTCCAGCCTGGCTCCCAGCTCTCTGCCAATCTTCCCTGCTGAGAGAATTGTGATTCTCCCCCACGCATTCCGTTCCTATGTCTAAAATTGTGTCATCCCTTTGTCACATTAAGGAACAGTGTTCAAGTGAGTGTTTTAGGTTATCCTGTGAGTCTACAGATAGCCGGAGAATGTTTCCTGCCTGTCACACATTGTGATGCACATGTGGCTTCTACTACATCTGTCCCTTACAGAGACCTTGCAAAGTGGAAGTTTTACAGCCACAGAAAATACCCATTGGGGATGGGGCTTCACAGAGGACCCAGGCCACTTCCTGGGAAACCAATTGAAATCTGCAGGCGGGTGACTGGAGAGCATCTGCCTTCCATGCTTGTTGGGCACAGACTCACACAGCGTCAGTGTAAGATCCAATGGATTCCTCGGTGTTAGAACTTCTTTCTAAATTTCAGTTTCTTTAGTAAATCTTCCCTTTACTCTTTATCTGTGGTTTTCAAAGTACACATTTGTTCAGTGAGATATTTTTTAAAAAACCTAGAGGGAATGGGGGCTGGAGAGATGGCTCAGCTGTTAAGAGCTGGTTGTTCTTCTAGAGGTCCTGGGTTCAGTTCCCAGCAGGCACATGGGGACTCACAACCATCTGTAGTTGGATCTGAGGCCTTTTCTATAATAAAGGCATACATGCCCATAGAGTGCTGATACATAAAATAAATAGATACAATCTTTTTTTAAAAAGCTAGAGGGAACTTTCTGTAGACCCTGATTTTGGGTCCCAAGTGGAAATGAGAGGACACATCTTCTAGTGACATGTCTAACTAGTTATGATGGGACCCCAGCTCTCTCACCTAGAACTAAAGACTCGTTTTCCTAGACTTGGATGACTTGTCTCTGAACTTTCCTTTCAACTGGTCAAGTTCTCCCATAAAATTTTAAGTTTTGCCACCTTCAATAAAGATTCATTATTGGAGTGTTTGCATCCATTTCTGATGCATAATTGATATGCATGTGTTTCTGTCTTTGATGTGTGAATGTATAAACTCTGATTAACAGTTTTGTTATATGCTCATAAAAAATTCCAGGTTTTATGTTAGTCACAGACAACAATAAGCAAAGTCTAATTATCATAAAATGTTGCAGCTGCTGGTACTCTAAGACAAGCATTTCCCTTCTGAAGCTCCACCCCATGTCAGCTGTGACACCAACTCTCCTTTGTCAGAATCTGTGTTACGGTGCCACTTCTGTAACAACTGGATGAAGGCACAGGGGAAAACTGGGTGGGGCAGGAAGCACCCTTGCCCATCTGTTGAAAGTGCTACTTCTAGTCAAGCGTTCTGAGTGTATCCATCTACTGGTTTACCTTAGTTTTTAAAACAATGACATTTTAAATCCCTTTGTGAGCAGAGGACGTGCACTGGTAATCTTACTAGATGTCCTGGCACCCAAAGAGAGACACAGAGAGAGGCAGAGAGAGAAACAAAGAAAGAAAGAAGCAAAGAAAGAAACAAAGAAAGTCAAAAAGAAAGAACTTTGGCTGTGGTTGATTCAGTGGGTAGACTGCTGACTGAGCATTCATGAGGTTCTGGGTTAGATCCCAAGCACCACATACAGAGAGTGTGGTGATACAATCCTGTATTTACAGCACTTAAGAAGTTCAAGTTTATCCTTGTCTACATAGAGTTTGAGGCCAGTTTGAAATACACAAAGCCCTGTCTCAAAAAATTAAAAAACTAAATTAAATTAAAAACATGTTAACACAGTCTAGGGTGTTATAAACCACCGTGCAAAGGTCATAGTGTATGTAGCATAGGCAAGATGGTCCCAACATTACTAAGTGATACAGTCTTAGGGGAGGGACCATTATTGTATATTGTTCAATCATTGACTAACTGCTATGCATGCCTAGTTCAGTTTATGGTTGCATAAGAAATGGAGAGCCTGAAAGTTTTAAACTAATATGATAGATGAGACATAGATAGATAGATAGATAGATAGATAGATAGATAGATGATAGATAGATAGATAGATGGATAGATACAATTCATGTATTTTTATTTTCACCACAATGTTAATTCAATGTATTTTAGCAATTTCTAAAGGTTTGAAAGCATCTAGCTTGGGTTGCAATGACTAAAGTTCACTAGCTTTTTCTTACCGTTTCTCCTCAAATACTTTGACTTCCCACTCCTGAGTAGATTCTTTGACATACCACTTTACTACAGGCTGGAAGTCTCTTTGGAAGCCAAATTGGACTTTGCAGGGTAGAGTCAAAGACTTTCCTGAAAATGCAGAGGTCGGGGAAACAGGAAGGAAGCGTGTCAGAGTGCCGATGTGACAGGAAGAGGAGAGGCTGCATTGGGATGCAGACAGGTTCGTGGCAGTGGGTACCAGTTGTAACCAAGCATCAACACATCCCACCTAGCAACACACCTCCTTCTGGCCAGCGTGTGTATCTCAACTGAGTAGCTATGTCCTTAACAGGAGGATTTCACGATCGTATCACCATGGAAAAGTTGGAGCTCTGTGAACAGCCCACTCATCAAAAAGATCATCCTACTAATCGATGCTTACATATTGAATGAACAAATGTCATGAGGTTACCATGCACAAAAATTCCTGAAGGGGAAAAAACCCCACACACTTATTCTGAACCTTCCACAAGGCTAAGTGATTGTCAGGGCCTCAATGATGTCGGGAGTGTTAGAATATTCTAGGTTCAAAGCCTTGTCATAATTTATCCCAGGCTTTGTTGTCCTCCTTGACAGTCATTCCTTGATTAGCTTTGTAGCTGACTTTACGTCCTTGTGAATATTAGGGTGTGTTAGATTTTTTTAAAGGAATGTGTTACCTTAACAAACCACTGTCTTCCATCAACAAAAATGCTAAAACTGTGGGGTGACAGCCCTTGGGACTATAGCTCAGGTCTCCCCCTGGGCTGTAACCTGGGTGACAGAGCTCTCACCCAGTGTACTTGGAAAGTGTCTTAATTTATTATTTCCTTTTTCTGTTGCCATGGAACTGTTTCCCCACCAGGACATGGGCTTGGGGTAGGTAACCCAAATCTGTGTTCCAGGGTCCCAGTCACTCCTACCTCTCTTGCCACCTTTGAGGTAAGAACTGGGCTTCCCTGACAACATTGCTTTATGGAGGAAACTATTTAGATTCTCAGCTGTTCTCCCGCTCACTGCACCATGGGTGAGCCCTGCATGCTACTGAACACCCTCCCTTTGCCTACCACCGCTGTGAGGATTGTCCTCCACGTTGAGATGACTTCTGGACAGATAGGTAGAGAATCCATTAGAAAATTCCTCTTTGGATCTTAATCTCTTCCCACAAGCAATGCATTAAAATTCACTGGTACCTTACACAACTTGTCTGTATATTTTTTTTGTCTTTTCTTTTTTTTTATTTTCCAGTTTAAATTTAGATAAGAAACGAGGTTGCTTCACAAGTCAGTTCCAGGTCCCTCTCCCATTCCCTCCCCTCCTCCCGTGCCCTCCCCCCACCCCCCCACCCCGTTATCCCCTCATTCCCCCAGGGAGGGTGAGGCCCTCCATGGGGGTGTCCATAGTCTGTCATTTCATATAGGGCAGGGCCTAGACCCTTCCCCAAGAGTTCAGGGTGAGAGTACACCTCACATCGTTCTATGGGAGTCCAAAGTCCTATTTTTAATGAATTGCTTTTCTTTCCATTCTCCTGTTTTTCCTCTTGACCAGCTCTAACCCCAGAACGGGCCACTACCGCCACCTACTGGCAATACAATGAAATAACAATTTGTTTACAATTCTTTGCACAAAAACTAAATCTTCCTTTAGCATTTGAAATGATAAATGTTGCACGGAAACACCACAATTTGCTCTATGATATAAAATTTCTGCTTGGCTATGTGTAAAGCAATAAATGGTCGAATTTGACAAAAATAATAAAAGGCAGTCAGATGAAAGTCAATTTCTCCTTTTCCCCAGAAGAAGGCGTCATTTTGGAATACATTTGAGCAAGAGATGCAGTGCTGTAATTTTCCTAATGAACGGCTCAAGTGTCATATTCATAAGAGTTAATGCTAACTTTATAAATTCATACACACAAACTAAATGGAAATATATGCACATATATGCATGTATGTACACTTTTTTCCTGGGAAGAATTTAAAAACTGTTTATCTTGTTTAGTTCTCCAGGCACTGAATATGTTTCCTCACTCTATCTCAATGCAAGATCAGCATTCGACAGTGAGGGGCAGATCTATCGACTGGGGCTTAGAAGGTGACAAAAGCTGGGACCAAGTCAAGGTTTACGGCCAATACTTACTTGAAAGCCTAATGGCCCTTTATGTCACACTTTGATCTATTCCCTGAAGCACAGGGTCATCAGGTATGCTACTATCCAGCAACTTACCGAGCTCTACTTCCAGAGTGTCTGTGATGGGATCCAGAATGTCCGGTTTTAGATTGATGTCTGTAACTGAAAGATGAAAACAAAAATTGCCCTTTGCGTTAAGAAATCTGAAGACCTGCTTGCTGAAGATTTGGGAGTATCCACTCAAAACTGATTTAAGTTTCTAGTGCTCTGTTTCTTTGTTTGCTCATTTTACCCAGAATGCATAAATCTGGGAATTGGGATTGTCACTCAGAAAGTTGCTTCTTTGGGGCTGGAGCGATAGCTTTGTCAGTACAGTGCTGGCCACACATGCCCAAGGATCTGAGTTTGATCCATGGAACCAAGCAGGTAGCTGGGGCTTGCCAGCTGGCCAGCCTAGCCCACATGGGTAGTGTGAAACTCTGTGTCAACAGAAATGATGGATTATACCTGAGACATAAAACCCAAGTTTGTCCTCTGGCCTACACACACACAACTACATACTCACACACCCCTACAGTTACAACCCCCCACACCCACACTTGAGACTTACGTCTCTGTCTGTGTCAGCTAGCTACGAGATTTCTCCTTGTTGCCATTTGACTGAGTCACCAGCCAAGAGGGACAACCTGCCCAAGGAACTGAGATTCAAAACTACCCACCCCTCAACCTTAAACTCGTGGTTTAGCTTAGACGGGAGGGGCATCTAGCCTCTGATTTTACTCTGCCTTTTTCTTTCCCGCCACAGAAATTCAAAGGCTCCTCCATTGTTTTGCCTTCTTCTGAAGTTATTCTGTCTCCAGGGAAAGTAGCAGCATCCGCTGACAGCATCTATGACTCTCACTTCTCACTGGCTTCCTCATCTACCCCGTCCCTCTTGTGCCATCAGCACCCCCACTTCTCACCGCATCCTCCTGATGATCTTGGCCTCCAAAGGCATTTTGCTCGCACACCATAAACTTCTCCCTTCCCCAGACGCTGATGTGCGTTTCACGGAGATCTTGCTCCTCCTCCTCCTCCTCCTTCTCTCTCTCTCTCTCTCTCTCTCTCTCTCTCTCTCTCTCTCTCTCTCTCTCTCTCTCTCTCTCTCTCTCTTTCCCCACGTGGCAAACAGCCCAGGGCTCAGTCCCAGAACCCCTCTTCACACTCTGACAGTCTCACACTCTCATCTCCAGCCCTGGCATCTCCATCATTGGCCTAAACACCCCCTCTTCATCGCCAGCACTATGACTGAAGTCCTTCCATGTTGGTATTTACTGTCCTCCTTAGACTTTTCTCCTCTTCTTTGTCTTCCATGCTTATTAAACGGAGCTAGCATTTACTGATTGACCCCCTTAGAAACTAGAATGTCCGTGTTCTGTTTTTTTCATTTGTCTTGTAAAGCGCACCCTGTTCTGTTGACTCAGAAACTCCATTCCTTCCTCTTCCGGGGGCACCGTTTGCTTCTGTCAATCAAGCTTGCTGACCCCACCTGCCTTCACCTTGTTCAATATCAGTAGAAGACATCTCAACGTTGACTCTCCTCTTTGACTTTTCCTATTCCCATACCCCAAATTCTCACAGAAGCATTTCTTGTGTATTTCTAGGCCCATCCCTTTCAATTCATAACCTTTGCTGTGCCCCTACTGGAAGTTGCCTGAATCAACAATGTCTCCCCTGCCTCCATACTCAATCTCAAATATACTGCTTCTTCTTGTTAGATCTAGCCTGGACACAAGTCTCTTCATGATTCTTGCAGTACTGGGTGGTCTCCTAGTGTCCCTTGGATAAAACTCCAAACTTGTCAGAAGCAGTAACACATACCTATGATCCCAGCACTAAGGAGTTTTTTGATCACAAGTTTGAGGCCAGCTTAGGCTTCATGTGAATGATAGTCTAGCCTGGTATACACAGGGAGATCTTGTCTCCGAAAAACGGAAACAAATGAATGAGCACAAAAATCTCCATACATAATGAAGACTGAAACAAAAACTTGAAACTCTAGCTTAGAGTATAAAGTAGGCCCTGATCTCAGAGTCCCACTCCCCACCCTGTTCTCTGACCTTCTCTTCTTCATCTGCATCCTGTTTTTTTTTCTCATGATTTTTGGATGTCAATTAGCTTTTGTCTCTACAAGAATGAATGGTACCATCCACCCCTCTCTTCCCGGTAGAGTGAATGTCATTGTTCATTCTTCTTTTCCCAGTGGTCTTGCTTGGATTCGCTTCACCAGTGTCAGACCTGGTGGACCTCACACATGACCACTGCTCCTTCTTCTCCTTCTGCACTGGGAAATGACCTCCTGCTTTCTGTCTTTCTGACCCATAAAATAGCCAGTTCTTAGAAGTCAGAGAACATCTCTGGGCACTAATCCTTAATCCAAATTTACCACAGAAGCTTGGTATCTTTGGTATCTATTCTATAGGTATATGGAGGAAAATCATTAAATGAGAAGGACGGGCCACAGTGACGGACAGGAATGAATGCCCTTGATGTGATAACCTTCAAGAGGAAGAGGAAAGTGAATCCCATCACTGAGAACTTAGGGGTCAGTGGATGGCTGAGTAAAAGCACATTTGAATGTCACTTGCTGGAGATAGTGATGCTAGAGTGTGCTGTACACAGAACTTCTCCACTCAGGAGCACCCTCTTACACAATAAAGCCATGGGAAGAGCAGGGACTGGGAATAAGCAGAAGTGTCTCCATCTTAACGCACTCCAACTGGACTGCATCTTGCAATAAGGAAACCAGAAGTACACTTCATTAGAGTTTTCACTGAGAACAGAGTCAGACATCCTGTTGCTTTTTGGTACAAGCACAAATGACTCATTCTGTTATGTTTTAACCCCAGAAGCCAGGGCTAAATGGCTTACAACTAGCATTTAGCTGTGCTGTTATTTGTAGATCGGGTAAAAATGACCCAAGCAAAGAGCTGTGGAAGGGAGACTCAATCCAAAAGGGTAGCAAATACAGGATGAGAGGTTTAACTTCCCTGTTAATCAGGGAACAATTAATTAGGAGGAAAAAACAAACTACTTTCTACCAATCAAAACATCTCATACCTTCCCCTAAATTTTTTTTAGGAATATTGAAAATTTGCTCATCATTAATAAGGGGTGTGAACTGGCATGCATTACCTTAATATAATACTGTGTGTTTTAGGTGTAAAAGGCAGTATTGTATTTTATCAATGGATAAAATGGGTTTGCACATGTATCGGAAAACACAAAAGCAGAAATGCTAAGCATCTAGATCAGTGGTTCTCAACCTGTGGGTCATGACCCTTTGGGGTCAAATGACTCTTTCATGGGGGTCACTTAAGACCATCGAAAAACACCAATATTTGCCTTATGATTTGTAACAACGAAATTACACTTTATGGTTGAGTGTCACTGCAACATGAGGAACTGTATTGAAGGGTGGCAGCATTAGGATGGTTGAGAAACACTGATTTAGTCTCTAAACTATGGATGCCTCTTGGAAGGGGATTGGGGCCCAGATCTCAAGCTGTAGCAGCAATCAATGTTCCTTTTTTAAAAAATAAAAGAACATGATGGGGGAAGTCCTGTGTATATGTCAATAAAGCACTGTTGGCCAATAGGAAAGCAAGATAGGTGAGACGAGGAGTCCAGGAGGACTCTGGGTAGGAGAAACACAGGGAGTCAAGATGTAACCGCCATAGGGGTAAGAAGCCCGGAAACTTTTCTCTGATAAGAGAAATACTTAGATTAACAATTTTGGGATAAATATTTAAGTCAGAGCTAGCCAGCAAGAAACAAGCAAGGCCAACAACTTCATAATTAATATAGCCTCCTTTGTGTTTATTTGGGACTGATGCGGTTCTGGAACCAGGCTGGCAGGAAGGCTTCTCTTTATAAGAACACGATTTTAAACATGTGGAAAAACATTGACACATTTTAAATAGGCCTATGAATGCCATTTCTTGTTTCAAGTATGAAATATCTAATACATGTTTAAATTATAAAATATTTAATGCATATTAAAATTTATTGCAAAAAGAAACCAGAGGGAAAGGAATAGATACTCCAGCTTGTGACAACATGAACATGACCCAGAACTGAGTCTCTTTGTGGGATTGAACCTCAGTTTTTGCCAACACACAGCCTTTTAAGGGTTGCCAGCCGCTAAATATCTCTTTTCTTCTCTAAAGGGAAATAATTACTTAACCAAAGGAAGAGGATTTTCACTGGTCAGCCAGAGTTCAGAAAAAGCCTCACTTACCAATGGTTCTCACTTGAACCACAGCTCGGACTGTCCAGGAGCTCACATTATCCGACTGAGTGTAATCGCACACATACAAGCCCTGGTAAGAGTCATAAATGGCACCCAACTTAATGATGCTGTTCTTATACTCAGGCAGGAGTCTTCCATCCTAGTCCAAAAGACAAGAATTGATCACCTTTCTGCAACCTCAGAGTTTTTATTAATATTCATTTTCACACATAAGAAAAGCTTCACAAATTCAAATCATGGAACACAGTTTGAAACACAGGTATCCCGTAGAATGAAGATACACTCTAGTGTAACAGTCTGAGGTCGCACAAGTGGCATTTCCTGACACTGTAAAAAAGCTGACTCCAATCAGCTTACAAAGCGCTACGGACTTAGTGTTTCCATAGCATGACTCAGTGGTGCAAGAGGATTTTAGACTGTCCAGTGTTCTCAGGAATGATGCCTAACTTAAATTTAACTAAATTATGTGCTCCTGTGATTAAGAATGGCAATGCAAGTGTGTTCACATGCGTGTGCGTATGTACATGCGTGTATAAATGCACCTTGAGAAACTTAATAGGTTTTAGGTAAAAGCAATCTATAAATTACTCTCATTCAGTAAATTTAACTTGAATGTAAGAACTAGGTGTGATGGCCAACACCTTTCACCCCAGCACTCAGGAGGCAGAGACAGGTGGATCTCTGATTTCAAGGCCAGCCTGGTTGACAAAGCAAGTTCCCAGGGCAGCCAGGGCTACACAGAGAAACCCTGTCTCGAAAAACAAAAACAAACAGATATTTATTTTGAATATAAAATTAAATTGTAAATAAAACACACCAAGTAAATAAACTGGACTATGTAATGATCAATAAGGGTAACTGCAGGAAGGCAGATCTCTGCAATTAAAATGAAGAAGAGAACAAGGACCTGGTAGTGGGTAACAGGCCTCACTCATAGCTATGGAATGTAGTCAGTAAGCTAGGACCTGTTAATGAGGACAGGTTTTACACATAGCTAGGGAGTGTAATCAGTAAACTTCAGCTGTGTGGGGGAATTTGTTCCCAGTAAAAATGTTCAGATAGTGTTAAACTGTGGGAAGCAAATTCCAAGTTTGTTGCAGAAAGGAATAAGCTACAGGAAGAATCCACAGCAAGAAACAGCCGCTTCATTCACAGGACTATAAGGCCAAATACAACCTTTGTACTGGTTTTATCCATCAGAATAATTCTTAATTCTTCTGAGTTATCTCATGATATGATAGCTGTATAATCCCTGTGTGACTTGCATCTTGTAGCAAATTGCAGAGATAGATATAGAGAATGCTAAGAAACCGTCATTTGACTCTGAACTCAGTAAGAACTGTCTCTTAGGATCCTTCAGTGAATGCATTTGCTTTTCAGATGATGTCTGATGACGGCCATAGCTCCTCAAGGACCCAGCTGGTCTCATTCTCCACTACCACCCCTTTGTACACCTGTCTGTCCCGGAGGAGGCATGCTCTATGGGATCCCTGGATTTGCAAGCCCTCCACTGCTTCACCAGAGCACAGGCTGCAGCTCCAGCCACAGCTCCAACAGGACTCAGGTTTTGGTAACAAAATCATCACTTGTTTCTAGAAGAACTGCCACCCCACATATCCAGGATCTTGGAGGCAAACAGAAGTTCGGGCACTGCCTTTTTACAGTAAGTGAGCCATGGGACGCATCCTTGTCTATAGCTAGTTGTTGAGCGCAGTCGTTGTTTCTAGGTAACTAATAATCCTGGGTAGGTGGAAAGGAATAAACGCCGTCCCCGCCCCTCAGCAGACTCTAGGTCTCCAGGCCCTGAGTCTCCGGCTTTTCTGTCACGCTATATAGAGTACTCGGGGACTACTTGTCAGCATATCTCCGCTCACATGTAATGGGGCTGACTCGTTGAGTCTTTGCAGAGTTCTGAAGAATAGAGAGGAACCAGTTAAAGCGAAAGCCACTTTAATATGACATAAAGTGTAAAGTGAAGTATGGGCGGTCATGGGAAATGAGGCCAAGGTGGACTCTGGATGTGTTTGATACTTGTTTCTGTACTAAAACAGCTTCGTTAAGGGTGTGTGAATTTAGGAATGCACAATGTAAGGATTTCAAACAGGAGAGTCTCGTGACAAAAGACATTTTAAGAAAAGTGGCAAGCAGCTGGCTATGGAGCTCACAGAGAGTGAAGTACAGATGAGTTCAAACCACCTTCCTATCACCAGGGGTTAGCACACAGTAGGGACTCCATCAATGTCTGTGGAAGGATGGTTATCACTGCTCTACTGCAGCCTAACTCATATATAATGTTTCCGTGCTAAGTGACCTTCTAGCTTCCCATGAGTACCAAGAGCAGATCTCTTACAACTATAATCAGAAGAAAAGAAATACTAGAAATGAGAAAATTGTGAGAACCCATTCTCTACATAGACTGTAAGCTTTTCTTTTATGTATGATCATATGTGGTTATCATTCATTCATAAACCTTCCACACACCGCTGCCTCACACATCAGGCCACCTGCTGTGACCTTCAATATTTCTCTCAGCTCTCCCAAAGGGGCCAAATATCTCTGCTGCTTCCTGGTGGAGGGTTCACCACCTCCCTCAGGGTCCTTTAGGAATACATGGCTCTTTCTTCGGAAGCTTGAGTGTTGTCTGTGGTATAACCTCCTTAGTAAAGCGCTCACCTAAAGAACAATCTGTCTCAGTGTGCCTCTTTCATGGACCACATCTCCTCTTTCTCCCCATGTGACCTATCCCTTGTCCAAAGGAGTCTCTGATTTGGGATTTGCATGGATTTGGTTTTTCATTTTACAAATGAGAAGACAAATACGTTAGAGTTTAAATGAAAGTCAGCATGAGAACGCCTAGTAAATGAGAGAACTGAATATAAAACATAGTTTTTCTGACTAAGAGTTTCATTTACTGATTGAGGAATTTCCCTTCCATTGGCAGTCACAGGTAGAAGCAAGAATCCCCACACACACTCCCCACACATACCTCCAAGTGTCTGGGCCAGTTCCTGTGGCCCAACAAAGAACTTCCCCTAAGGTATCAAAGAGTCTGAGTGGGCCACACTGCTCCTGGGGAGTGGTTACAAGACAGGATGAAGAGCCAGGGCAAGAGGCAGAGACAGAGAGCTTAAATATTTATCAGGTGATGGCAAAGATCAAGAATACCCCAGTCAATAATGAAGCTAAGAAGAAGAAGGGAAGTCCGGAGATAAAACTTTAGAGAACCCAGTAAGAGCATACAAAGAATATATAAACATAGAGTACAGGCATGCAGCAAATCTGCTGAGAAGCTGATGGAATGAGGATACAGAGTACCAACACTAAGACCATTGAGGAGGGTGAATCCAGGGAACCGAGTAGACCACTTCTTCATTTTATAGATGGTGGTCACAACTCGGTGTGTGTCATCAAAAGACTTTTGTGAAACAGAACTCAAAAGAAATGTCAAAGACATTGGGAAAAAGAAACTTATGCAGAGAGAAAGGAAACTCATCAGATTATTCAATAGAAGGCAGGCCTGGCAGGAGAGAGAGGCAGATGCATCTGCCCAGAGTACTGTGTGATGCTCGGAGGTGAAACCTTAGAAAACAAAAGTACAAAGGAGGAGCACTGTGTGAAGAGTCAGGAGTCCTAGAAAGAACAAGTGAAAAAACATGAAGGTGCTAAAAACATGTTTAGGTGTACATGCAAGGGGAAGAACAAAGCCATTCTTAGTAAGAGGGCAATCGTGATTTTGTAATGTGCTGTCCTGAAGTTTTACTACCAGGCAGCACAGCACCGGATTCTCTAGGAATGGTGCTGTCTAAAGTCAGGCAACACTGGAGTCCCATCTGGGCTCCCTCCACCTGCATCGACATTGTTAGCCAGTTTTCCTTGATGAGCTTCAAATGGTTCTTCATGGTTAACTCATAATCATGTCTGGATATCTTCACATCTATGATGGAATCAGTTTTTACATTCTAAAAGTTGATACATGCCGTGAATATATTTTAAGCCATAAAACATCTTAAATATTATGATTACCTCTTTAGCTGGTCCTTATCAAAGCATTTGATTATTACCCTTCTTCTGTGAAAACGGGCCCTACCTTCTTTCTACTCCCATCGCAAGTTCTGCAGTTGAGAATACACACAAGGAAAGTTCAAACATGCCAGCAGGGCCCCAATCTCCCAGCCTCATGAGAAACCCACAGTTTTTATTTCCAACCCAGTAGAGTTTATACTGCACAAGAACTCTGCTTCACACACTGAGCAATTTGCTAACCTGTCACTGAATAGACTTCTTGCTGTTCTGTTTCTGTTACAATATTAATCTTTCTTAGTAAGTCCCATTGCACAATCTCTTGCTCCAATTACCCGACAATGCGAAATTTATTCTGCAATCATGTAGTAATATTTCTTTTAATATACCAGGAAATAATTAAACCAGAAAATTTTAACGATGGGTCCTACGTCGGTCCCTAGCCAAAGTACTGAGTAAATGATTAACAGATGGTTTGTGAGTACTTGGCAAGGGGGTAATGGCTAATATCAGCCAGCTTGTGCTTGCTAACTATCACCTTATGAAAGTCATCTCATTTTCCTGTATAACTGGAAACTTAGATTAGAGGCTCATGGTAGGCAAATTCTGTCTTCACTCTGGAGTATAATTTGGCAAAGACTTTCATGATCTCCCTGTTAAGCAAGAAGATCCTTAAGATCCTTATAAGCCGAATGAGAGTGTCTTTGCAGACAACTGAACAGTAATGCCCCCAGATGATGACAATGTGCAGCTAGGAGGATTGCTCCAGAAACTACAGCTGCGAACTCTATAGTGCAAGCCCATGCAGCAGTTTTACAGGGCCTTAAGTATCACATGTCCTCCCCACCCCCCAACTACACACACGTTTTTTGACCCTTGCGGGTTTTGTTTATATAGAATAGTTCAGGATTTAGTGTTTTTAAGGGGTCTCTGTGTATGCCTGCCGTGAAATGAGTTTCTTGTGCTTTTTCTTTGTTTTTGTTTTCTGTTTGGTGGTTTGTCTTATTCTGTTTTGCTTCTTTGGTTTTGTAGTTGCCAGGTTGCTTTCTAATGAGAGAGCGAAAGAAAGTGTGTGTATGTGGGTGTATGGTGATGGATGTGGATGTGGGACCTGAGAGGAGTTGGGTGAAGGGAACCATAATCGGAATGCATTGTGTGACACAATATTTTAATAAAAATTAAAATTATATAAAAAGAATCACGTATCACTGTTTATGTTACCTATGCGATTCACAACTCTAAGAATGATAGCTAGTACGCTGGATTATAAAATTATAAACTCAAATTTCCAATTTCTTAACACACAGAATGGCGAGTGAAAACCAATGTGTTAGAATCTAACAGGAGTGCATGTGAAGTTAGGAATGTGAGTCACAAACTCGAATTCTAGGCACACAATTGAGAATGTTCCTCAAATTGCCTGGCTGTAGTTCTTATGAAAAAGCCTAACTTGGCCACAACAGCATGATTGACCCACACAACACGGTTATCGAAAAGCTGAAGGAATTGCAGGCAGCATCAATACTGTGTTCACAAGAAGAAAAGGGTCCCTCATCTACGGCATGCACTGTACAGCAAGTGGCTAGCTGTATATAGAGCTCCCCAGGAATGTGGGGGGGGAGGTGTTTACAGTGAGAACAACAGAACTGGCCGATAGATCAGCCTTGCAAACAGCTTCCAAAACTAGAATCCAAGTTATCATTTATCTTCCCTTTTTAGAAGCACTTTAAGCTGTGGGTCTGGCCAGTCTCAACCTGCTCACCAGCTCTTCATGGTAGGTGGCTCACATAGCGCCCAAAGGCTCCAGTCCCTACAAGAGCTAAACCAAATGGAAATGATTAGGGGAAGTGGCAAATACATGTGCAAAGCTTCCACGGAACACAGGACTGAGAATCAGCCCCACATCCATGTGTGTCAGCACTGAGGAAAACCCCCCTGGCCCTGGTGAGGTCACTTAAGACACCAATGGGGATTTTCATTCATGTTCGGGTCCTACTAACAAGCGGTTACAACAGTACCAAAGCGATCCTGGTGTTCATGGCCATTTCTAAAGAAACTCTCCCACTGTCCTTTATTAAAATTCTCCATTGTGTTAAATAATTGCCAAGAGCAGGGCATACAACGCTATAAAGGAAATAAATAAAATTCCAACAACAGACTTTGAAACACAGAGATCTATTTGAGTAAAGGATAGGCAAATAATAATAATGATAATAATAATAATAATAATAACAGCTTTAAGCTAGAAGAACTGCAAGAAAATACAGATGGAAAAAATAGAATTTGAAAGTCGTTCCTAGCAATATTAGAAGTTGGGAAAATAAATGACATAATTTTTAAGTGAAAATTAATAAGTAAAGAATATATTCATAAGCAAAACTTCTTTAAGATGTCCAACAGTGGACTTGATCAGCAGAGGTGAGAACCAGAGAGCTCAGGAGTGGAACATCTGAAATCACCCACCAGAAGAACAAGGAGAGAGGAGAGTTGGGCAATAATGAAAGACTCATGGGAGTTACAGAGTACCATAAGAAGAACTAAGCTTGGAGCACATCTAGAGAAATAACAGCTAATACTTTCCCAAATCCAGAGGACAACACTCTGGGGTGGACTTCTAAGCAAATTCAGTTCAAGGAGAAATTGCTGTACACATATCATAAATTGCCCAAAGTGAAACATCAGGAAAAATAACTAAAGCAGCAAGAGTTGAAACATGCCACGTTAGAACTTGCATAAATACGGCTATCAGCAGAATTCTGAGCAGAAATCCTGAAGGCCAAGAAGGAGGGACGTGACACATTGAGAAGTCACCATGTGCAGTAGTTGGAAGGTGAATGACTCCCCAGGTGCATATGTCTGGATGCTTGATCCCTAGCTGGAACTGTTTGGGGACAATTGGGAGGTGTGGCCCTGCTGGAGGAGGTGTGTCACAGATAAGGTTCTGTTTGGTGAGCATTCAGGTGTGGGCAAGCATTCGGAAAAACACTGTAGCACAGTGGAGACATGGAATGTTTTTGTTGTGTTTGCTTACCAGGTTACTCAATATCATTATAAATTTTCTCTTGTGCCCTCATTCTTAGCATTCACTCACTCCCACAAGCTATGCACAAGGGACTTGTCATGTGGTGAATTGCTGCAGTCTCCTCACCATCCTCCTCTTTAGAAACTACTCCGCTCCCCTGTTTCTTTTAAAACTTCAAGACTTGATTGTAGGGAGCTCCTATCCTCTTCCTCGGCAATGCCTGTTACTCTCTATGACAACATAAATGCATTAACCTGCCCAGAATTCACGAATGGTTGTTACACCCTCCCATAAGTGTGACATCCTCATCTGCTGGGCTTTTCCCCTGATGTTAGTCAAAAGGGTGGCTCTAGCAATCTGAGGAGCAAGCTGTACTCTGCATAGGGTCAAAACCACTTTAGAATGTAGGTCTTTTGCATAGGCACAGACCAGCCTTTGTATTGCTCTGGGCTCTGGGCTCTCTAACTCATGTTTCTATAAAGAGTCTATAAAGTCAAAGTCATCAAACAGTGCTCTTAACACCAGTTTTAGAAAACCTATTCATACCCGGTACCAGGTCATCTCTGGACTCTGTGCATCACTTTGGCAGCTGAGACTGGGACAATAAATGGAGCCCGTGCTTCCAAGAAATAGGTATTGCTTGTGCTCTACAGGCTTCCCACAGGATACATTTCTCTGAGGCTTAAGTTCTAAGATGGTCTTGACACAACAAGTCATATCCTGAGGACTCCTAGGAGATAGAGAGGGTCCTGTAAGCACTTGTTGGGGTCACAGAGAACTTGAGAATATTTTCAGACTGGCATGCCTTTGAAACATACCTAATCCTGGGTCTACAGATATATGACCCAACATTGTTCTTCTGTGGGGTCAATATATGCAGCATGCCTTTCGTCTGCACATAAAGAGAGTTTCTACCGATCTCCTCTAGTGGACCTCCACTTGGTGGTTGCACGTACCACTGGACATCAGATAGGTCCTGGTTACCACTGCAAGGCATGTGGGCAGAGCCTTGTGCTGATGACAGTTGACTTATTTGGGATAACTGTGACTTATGAAGCTCTGGTAAATCACAAAATAGAACAAAATCCTCTGCAGCCTCCACAGGATATATCCAAAGAAGTCTTTTGGTGGCACAAGCTGAAAATTACAGTAAATGAAACAACACAAAGAAATGTGTTAGAAGGTAGAATGCTTATTAATGCTTAAAATAGGCTCATTATAATAAAGGAGTAAGCTCTCTCATCTATATTGTGTACTATGTCAAATTAATAGATGAAAATGGCTCATGTTCTGATTTCCTCCCAACAGGCTTGTGTCTTAACTTGCTGTTGGTGATAGTTGAACAATCATGCACTACTCTTCAGATGTCTCCACTGAATGCCCAGCTGTGGTCACTGGGATCCCCCAGCTGTATGTCATATCTACTGAAAACAGTCCTGACCAGAAACTCTCCTCCTACTCCCTTTAAGAGCAAGAAGATGTTGTATAATAATAGGTCAGGCTACTGATGGACCAGATTACCTGCCACTTTAGACTTTGACCACAAGACTCATGGTGTTAATATGCAAAGCAAAAACCCCTACCTGAATGATCGAATCCCATGGTCTTCTCTCCTGCAACAAAGCAAAGTAACACCCAGCCCAAGCAGAGCATGGTTCTTCACTGCTCCTGACATGGCTTGAGTGACTTCTCATTGCCAGTGTGGAGTGTGTGGAGACTCAGCACTCTCTCTCTGGCATCCTCTTCACTAATGAAATAGGAAATGGAGAAATCAAAACCTGTGACCAAGCCCCAAGTCACACAGGAAACCCTAAAAGGGCACATCCCACCCAAACAGTCCTTTGGAAGCTCAGAGACTGCATGGGTATTTTCAGGGGCTTGAAACAGCTCCTCCTCCACATGTCATCTCTAGCATATCCAAAGGATGAGCACCTCACATTCAGGGTTCACTGAGGACCTCACATGGGCCCTGGAGTATCTTCTAATACCATTTCTCTTCACTGAATTCTTCTTATTTTTGTTATAATACTCCCATCTACTGTGCATACTTCTATCAGTAGTCTGGAAAACTTATGCTTTATTTTCCTTGAAAAGATAGGCTGATTTATATGGAAATAACATATTCTACATTTAGAGAAAGCTGGTGATTGAGCTCCTATCTATAAAATCTGAGAGTATCTACATGGTACTAAACACTAGATTTAAAAAATTATTAGGTTAGAAACTTGTGACTTGAAGATTAACCTACTGATCCTCTCATGTATAAAAATGGAAAGCATGTGTTCTTAAAATTGAAAGTCAGTCCTGGGTTGGTTGGGTTCTACATGTTTGTCTCCACTTTAGAGACAGTGACCATGAGAAACTTCAAACAACTTATAAACAACAAGAGCTATGGACTTGGAAAATATAAAATTGTTTGAGTATTTAATTTTGAGCAGAAAGTAAAATGTTTAGTTACAGGACAGTATTGTCTATTCTGACATTAAAAAGGAACAAAATTTGGAGGATAGACTCTATTTCAATGTCAAAAACTGCCAAGGAATTGAGCTGATTATCCACTTGGTATGACCACTAAGAGATGGGCAACCAGAGAAGGAGGGTAAAAATCCCAGGATGAAAAGACTGCAGGGACCTCAGAGATAAAATGATAGGCAAGAACCTACCACATGTGACATGGTGAATGTAAAAAGTCAGGATAGCAAATGTTAGCACTTCCATTCAAACAGAAGGGCAGGTTGGGGGGGGCAGCATCCTGGGGAAGCACAGAGAGGATGAAAGGACAACTGGAGAATGGGGAAATAGAATGGCAAAGACAGGAGGTGTGTTATACACCAGTGTCTTAGCCGCAGTTCCCCAGCAGGGAGGCAAGGCAGCATCAGCTTCATTCAAAAGCTAAGCCAGGAAGCCCAGGGTTGAAGACTTCAGTACACCTCACAGTTCCTGCAAAGACTCCAATTTACTTGGGAGTTTTGGTGAGATGGTGACCCCTCCTGAGGAGGAGGTCAGCAATGGGAAGAAGGTCAATGGTATTATCACACTAAGTACTAGAAATCTGTAGCTAGATCAGTCTTAAAGGAGAACTTACTGTTTAAGGCCTGGCTACCCAAAGAACATGATCACAAGGAAATACCACAAGTCATGGAGCCTGGAATCAACGTCCCGCCTTCTCGGGTTGGAAGATACCTCTGCAAGGCAATTGTAGAGAGAATGAAGAGTGCATGCAGACTTGTTGAGAAGTGTAAGGGGTGGGGGGCTGGCCTTTGGAAGCAAAAGGGATGGGTATGTACAGGGGATCTCACTTTCTGTTCCTGGAAGCTGACATTTTCTCCTTGAGGTTAACTGTGTAGCCTGAAGGCAGTATTTGGAGCCAGTTATCTTCTTGGAGGTATATTGTTGGCAGGTCTCTGAGACTCTGGGAAGGGAATTGACTTTCACAGTCATGTACAGATTTCAATGTTTGTTTGATTCTCTTACCTTGAATCCACTTGGGAGTGTGGAAGAAACAGCCCAGCACACGGACGGTAGAGTGTGTCATCTCAGACTCCTGCTACCCCAAACAGAGAAGGAAGTTGTCTTCCCCAGGGAAGACAATTCTGGTGGACTCTGGGCATGTGAATAGTTCAAATTCAGCACTATCCTAGATGGTAGGAGATGTAGGAGCACTCACATTCAGTGGAGCCTAGTTTTTCTTTCCTATTAGACTCTGTTAGAAGTTGCTCCAACACATCACATTTTTTTATGCCACTCAAAATCCATTTTTTTCTTTTTATTAAATTTTTAGTGGTATTTTAACTCTATTTCTCAGAGTTTTCATGTTATTATTTCTATCCTCTTCATAATTGCCTAACCCTATTCATTCATTATTCCTTTACTGTGTGATCAAATTCATTTTTTATTTGCTTGCCCCTTCCTCTCCCTTTTCGTAGTGTTCTCAGACCTTTTTCTTTTATTTCATGTAACCTTCTTCCCCTTTCTCTTCATCCCTTCCTTGCTGTCTTGCTTTGCCTCCTTCAGGTGCTATTTTTACTTTTATGTAAAATAATTATCTTCATACCATATTCTACATTAATGTTGCGCCATTTTGTGTTCTATGGCTACTGGTGGTGTGATAATTTGCTTTCACTGACTTAATGTGTATGTCAACACTTTGCTTTGCTTTGTCATTTGTTTACTCCTCTTTGAAAGGTCTCAGAGAGCCTTCTCCTCAGGAGTTCCTCAAATAAAACCGGAAGAGAGATGTATGCCAAAAATGAACAAATTACAACAGAGACACTCAATAAACGTGACTAGGTAAAGTCATGTTACACATCCAAGTAATGATAACACAGCAATTTCTAATCCCAAAGACAATGAAATGATTGACATTCTGGGCAAATATTTCAAAAGTCAGCTTGTAAAGATAATCAATTACAAAGAGTAAACAAACAAACACTAAGATGAGGTAAGGAAATAAATTCAGGATACAGGCAAGAAAGTGACTATTGCAAAAAGAGAAAGTCGAGATGGGTAAGACATTTGGAAAGACAATCATGATTTTGGGGGAAAAAATACAGACATGAACAACTCAGTAAAATTTTGGTAATAGAAATCATAACCAGCAGACCAAATGAAGCAGAATATCAGAGGTGAAAGAAAAAGAAATATGACACTCAGGTATTAGTGGGGTAAAATTATATAATGTACAACAATATACAGAAAAATATTCATTAAAATTTGAACAAAACAGATTGCCAATTACTGCAAAGAAATGGCCATGTAAGCCCAAAAAGTATTTAGAACCCCAGACAGATCAAAGAATGATGTCTCTATAACATATTGGATTCAAAATTCCAAAGTTCAAAATTAAAAAGTATTAAAAGCTGCAAAAGAAAAATCACCAACTCGTTACTGAGGCAAATTTATCAGAAAAAATATTCAACCTCGGTATAAACCCTGAAGGAAAGTATGTAATGATGTATCACAAACAGTGAAAGGAAGTAAATGGCAATAAATATAACTGCTTTCAGTACATTTGTCTTAAAATCAGGAAGAAATAAAACAAGCCAAGACAAGCACAATCGGAAGCAATTTATGATTACTAGACCATGATTGTGGAAGACACAGAAGAATCCTACACAATTAGAGGGAACAAAGAGTCTTAATAAGGAAAATATGGAAAAGAATGAATTTCATGACAAGAACAAACAGACAAAGAAGAATCATGAATGGCTCAGCAGCTAAGAGCACTGACTGCTCTTCCAGAGGATCTGTGTTCAATTCCCAGCATCCACATGGCAGCTCACAACTGTCTACGACTCTAGTTCCAAGGTATCTGGCACCCTCACACAGACATACATGCAGGAAAAACAAATAAATAAATAAATAAGTAATAGAATGGCTCGGTCATTTCCAACTCAGTAAGCCAACTAATGTCTAACATAAAGAGATGAGAAAAACAATTAAATCAACAGGAAAATACTCAGCAAAGGCTTAAGAGTCATCAAACCCCTTTCAATAATAACCCTAAATGCAAATGGCTTTAGTTTGCTGGTTAAATTATTCAAACTTAGTGAATAGATTAAGAAGTAAGAGCCAATTATATGTTGTCTCTAAAAAAGAAAAAACACTCCTGTATTAGTTATGGTTTTATTGCTGTGATGAAACATCATGACCAATGCAATGTATAGAAGAGTTTATTTGAGCTTGTGGTTCCTGAGGGCTAGAGTCCATGATGGCAGAGTGAAACAGGAGCAGGAAGCTAAGGGCCCATATCTCGAACAACAAACATTTAGCAGAGAATGTTAACTAGGAATGTCACAAATCTTTAAACTTTCAACGACATACTTTCATCAACAAGACCACATCTCCTAAACCTACCCAAGCAGCACCATCTACTAAAGACCAAATATTCAAGTGTCTGATTCTATAGGGACATCTCATTCAATCCACCTTACTGGCAAAGACCACACATAAACTGAAGGTGAAACAATAAAAGTCAGAATACCAGGCAAATGGAAGCCAAAAATAAATGGGAATTGTAGACTCTGTGCCATAATGAGAAAATATAAAGAAAGTTAATTCATATTAATAAAGAATGTGATTCATCATGAAAATAGCATTGTTATAGATGTGCTGAGCATTAAGGTACCAAATTTCATTTTAAAAACATTATTGAACATACAGAAACAAACTCTACTACAAGAATAGACTTTGGGCTCCCATCCAACAATGAGAGATAGACTCTCACCCTGGACTCTTGGAGGAGGGTCTAGGCCCTGCCCTGGATGAAATGACAGACTATGGACATCCCATGGAGGGCCTCACCCTCCCTGGGGAAATGAGGGGATATGGGGGGGTTGGTGGGAGGGCACGGGAGGAGGGGAGGGAAAGGGAGAGGGACCTGGAATTGACATGTGAAGCAACCTTGTTTCTAATTTAAATTTAAATTTAAAATATATATATATATATATATATATAAGAATAGAAAACAATTTGAACATCCTGTTTTCAACAATACTAGATCATCAAAAACATGAACAAACTAAACCTTGTCATTAACCTACACAATAGATCAAAAGGACTTAATAGACCTATAGAATATTGTATCTAAGAGCTTCAGAATATACAACATTCTCAGCAGTTATAGTAGCTACTGCCATTGCTGTTAGTCACATAACAACCCAAGAACAAACCCATTCTGAAAGTTCTATTTACATGGAACAACACTCACAAGCTCTTATTTCCCAGTGTCTGCACTTAAAAGACCACCTGGTATCTAAATATTGCCTTTCATTGTACCATCACTCAAACACTTCAGGGATTCAGAAGAAATCATTCATGTGCAAAGTATCCTACTTGTTGAGCAATTCAAACCAAACGTGGCTGAAGATTCTCCTCCAGGGAGAAAAATGATTAACAGGTGGCAATGAATGTTATCATTTAACATTTGCCATTCTAGAAAACACATGTGTTGTATTTCTCATTCCCAATGGATAACTGAAGGTCTTATAGCTCATGGCAATGGTGTGCATTATAAAATGAAAACCACATACCTGTCCAGTAGTAGAAGAGAGTTATATCTAGATGCAGAGGGTTTCAAAGCTTCTCATTTTGCTATCACTACACGCCATCCTCCATGGAAGAAGGTAGGATGATCTGGAAATCTGGAAGGTCTTTTTCCTAAAATTTTCCATAAGTTATTAAAAAAACTGTGTCTTTTTCTCAGAGGCGGGAGACCTATCCTGAAGTCATTCAAAGATAAATGGTCAGCCATATTTTACAGTACTAATGAACTAAGTTTTTCAAAGAACAAAGCTTTTGCTGAGAGGAAAAAGGTGAAAATACTGAATAAATTATCAGGAAAAGACAACTTGGTCCTGTTCACATCCTTAAAACACAAATAAAGGAGATATGGGCTAGTTTAACAGTTCCAGTTTTCAAAGAATATTAGGATAATGCTCTTATGGTCCATGGTATCCTGTTCAATGCTTGCCTTCAAGGGTCAACAAGCGACAGTGGTCATTCAAATTTGGCAAGCAGTTTGAATCCCTACTTACAACCCTTCCAATAAAATGCAAGAAGCATTTTAAAAAATGGTTTACTTTGTAACAACTCATTTTTTTTCAAGAGAAGATTTAAAAATACACTGAGATACAAATGTTGCTACTTAACAGTACGTCTGTTACTAAAAAATATTTCAAAAAAAGTAACTGTTTAGCAATTAATTTTTAAGTCATTTAAAAATTATTTGGGGTCAGAAAATCTAGTGACAGAATGTTCAGTGGTCTTACCTTTATTTCCTGGTCTTATAAACACACACACACATTAAAAAAACATAAGAAACTTCAAGTCTCTATGTCAGTGACTGCCGGCTTGTGCATCCGAAGAAAAGTGTGCAAAACATCCATTTTCAAAGAGTTCTACTATAATTTTTTTCTTAGCAAGAGAGTTACTTGGAGAAGAGTTAAGAATTATCCAACTCATACAGTCTGGAAATAATGAGTTATACCCAGGCAGAAAAAGGGTAGTTTGTAAGGAACCGCTGGCTTTGGAAAATGCATGGTCATAAGAAAGGAAAATCAAGTCAACTACTTCTATCTACCACAGAAGAAAAACTCGTGAAATGAAGCATTTAAAGCTGTTCTCTGGCCAGCCTCCTTGACAAGAAAAGCTTTGTGGTTACGTTTAGTTGAAATGGTGAGTAAGCCAGCTTCCTTTACAGGAATTTCCTGTACTGAATTTTAACTAACATTCAACAGCATTTCTTAACAGGGGAGTTCTCTTTTTCTCTCTCTCTCTCTCTCTCTCTCTCTTTTCTTCTAATAAAACTAGGACACCATCACTGCCTTTAATTTCGAACCTAAAGGCTTTCTTTTAATGAACTTTTAAGTGTGCATCTCACTAATATCACTTAGAGGAAGCAACAATTAATTGATAAAGAAAGTGAAAATTTTGAACATTGAAGGTCATTGAAGCTATTTATGTACTTATGCATTAAAAAGGAAACCTTGGAATGCATAATTACGAACTTCACTGTAATTAGAATAATTCAGAGCACCGAGGGACCACACTACTCACAAGGAATATTGTCTACAAAGCATCCTAATTAACTGCATTACCAGCCTCCATCAAGAGATTACTATCCCCATGGAGATAAAGCTAAAGCAACCCGACACAGCAAGGCACTGGTGTTATTTCCACACAGGATTATAGAAAAGCATAAAATACAGGGAAGAAGCTCTGTTGTCAGAGTGAGGGAAGAGTGTCTACCTGCAGTGAAAGTGGAAGGCTTCAAGAGGAATTAGCAACTGAAGACAGGGCTAAGCCATAAAAAGCCATGTGTTCATGTTAGTCATGAACCTATCTAGAATTCCAAGAGGATGTGAGATTTTCCTTACAGCCTATTGCAGTGTGTAACATGTTCAGCAGAAAAGACATGAAAGCACATGAACTTCAGGCTCACAGTGCCAGTAACAGAAACCTAGAAGAACTTGAAGGAATGGGCGAGCATAAAGGAAAAAGGGAAAAAGAGGGTGTTGGTGGGAATGCCGACTCATACAGCCTCTTTGGAAATCAGTATGGAGATTCCTCAGGAAAATGGGAATTAATCTACCACTAGACCCAGCAATTCCACTCTTAGGCATTTATCCAAATGAGGCAGGTTCATACAACAAGGACATCTGCTCCACTATGTTCATAGCAGCATTGTTTGTAATAGCCAGAACCTGGAAGCAACCTAGATGCCCCTCAACTGAAGAGTGGATAGAGAAAATGTGGTACATTTACACAATGGAGTATTACTCAGCAGAAAAAAACAATGGAATTTTGAAATTCGCAGGGAAATGGATAGCACTGGAAGAAACCATCCTGAGTGAGGTAACCCAGTCGCAAAAAGACAAACATGGTATGTACTCACTCATATATGGATTTTAGATATGGATCAGGATAGTGCCAGTCTGCACTTCCACAGATAGAGAGTCTGGGAAACAGGAAAGAACCTAAAAGATATGCATATATGCATAGTACCCAAGAGAAGAGGATGGAGACAAGATCCTCTGAATGGATGGGGAACACGGCGAGGGGTGGGGGGGAGTGGGACCTGGGAAGAATAGAGGGGGTAAAGAGGAAAGGAGTTGGTCATGGGGGAACAGGAAGTTGAGGGGGTGGGGGTAGAATAGGGGGAAGAGGGAATCATAGGATCGAAGACAGATCAGGCACCAGAGTAACCTCGAGTGATCTAAAGGTATAACATCAATTGGCAAGCTAAGCAATAGTGGAGGGACCACCTCGAATGCCCATTCCTGATAATAAACTTGATGTCTATAACCATCCGGGAGCCTTCATCCTGTGACTGATGGAAGCAGAGGCAAACACACAACTAAGCACTGAACTGAACCCAAGGAACCCAGTGACAGAGAGAGAGGAGTGATGAGCAAATTGGCAAAGAATGGGCTGGCAAAACCAGCAGAGACAGCTGATCTGAACAGGGGAGTGCTCTTGGACCCCAGACCGACAGTGGGGAGGCCAGCATGGGACTGATCTGGACCCCCCAAATGTGAGTGTCAGTGAGAAGGCCTGGGCAACCTATGGGGCCCTGAGCTGTGGATCAGTGTCTATCCCTGGTATACAAACTGTCTTCATGTGCCTATAGCACAAAGAGAGATGCTCTCTCAGCCTGGACTCTTAGGGGGAGTGCCTTGACCCTACCAAGAGTAAAATGACAGACTCTAGATATCCCCTATGTGGAAGGATTTGGCAATAGGGTGGGAGGGAGGGGGGGAAGGGGAGTGCGGGAGGAGGGTAGGGAGAGGGAACTGGGATTGACATGTAAAACAAGCTATTTAAAATTAAAATAAAAAATGATAAAAAAGAGGGTGTTGTTTATGTCAGGTGTTTAATAAATGTTGAAGTATACTCAAGATACCTGGGGGCTGGGGTGTGTCCTTATCAAATCTCAGAGGACCTGACATAGACCTCAGTGTTGCGTCTGAAATTATTGCTGGCATGGTCTCCTAAAGTGAATTTATCAACAGCTTTTTCGTTTACCATATCAATCATAGACTGCATTTGGGAAAGAAAAGCAGGAAATCATTGACAATGGGATATTTGGGAAGAGATGAAAGGTTAGTCACTACAGGAAAAAACTCAAACATGTTTAACACTTTGTACAATTCAAACATTGTGGTACTATCTCGTGGGTAGAAAACTTCCCCATGGAACAGAATAGATGATGCAGAAACATATGATAGCATATGGAAATTTAGTAAAAATAGAAAAGGGCATCACAAATTAGATGACCGTTGATAAGCGTAGTGTGGTAATGGGGCAGCCATGTGGAAAACTGTGCAATGAATCTTTTCCTCTGGCCACACAGCCCACTGTGTTCCAAATGGACTGGGATTTAAAGTGTGAAAATGCTAATCTACACAAGTATTAGAAGTGTAGCTTGCTTCTCGATGACCTAGAAGTAAGTAAATACAAAAACAGAGTAAAAGGATAAATGATAAACTCCGGACTTGCAACTTACATTTCAAAATCTTGTCATCTCTAATGTGATAAGATCTTGCAGCAGTAGAAATAAGATCAAACATCTCCACAAAACATTAACAGAAGGTAAGGACATATTTCTATACATTGCTGTTGGGAATGAGAGCCAGCACAGTCTTGTGGGGAGAAATAAGGCAATTATTGACCAAAACCATAAATGCCTGTTTGCTGTCACAGTAATCCTGCATCCTGGACATGACCTCAAAAACATATTCAAGCAAAAAAATGTGAAATGTGTTTAGATAATACTGTCTGTCATAATGTCACATGTAAGAGTAAAACACTGGAAACCCTTGGGACTGGTTGAATAAACAGTAACATAAGAATGTTCCAGGAACTTGTATGAAGTAGTGAGAACTAGCTTCAGATATAATTATGGAGTAGTTACTAAAAATGGTCTCAAGAAAATTAAATTGTAAAACTGGTTGTAATCACTACCATTTATCTGTGAGAAATATAAATATCCATGCATATTTATTTATATTAAAATATGGAAATATAAGTCAATGTCAATATTTTAATTGTTTACTGTGTGGTGCAGAATAAACAGGTAATGGAGAGAGGGTTGGACAGTAACTTCTATATGAATTTTATTTTGCAGAATTGCTCTAAAAAGAAAGATAAAATTTTAAGAAACAACCCCTAGAAATAAAAATATGAAAAATAAACCTAACTCTACTGAGTCAACAAAACACTATTATTAAAAGATAATTTCAAATGACTTGAGAACACAATGCTTGATTTTGTCTTTTAATGAAATAATCTCAAGGGGGAACACCTGTCTAAAATAATCACAAATTGCTTTTAGAAAAAAAATATTGTTGAATTATCAAAGTTAAAGTATTAAAATTATTCTGAAGCTACTATATACTAGACATTAATAATTATATTAATATCATCAAGAACTGGAAATATGAATGCAAATTTTGCTCATATAAAACTGATGACTAATTAAAACTTTCAGTCTTGAATGAAATTGTCCTTTCAGTGTTGATTCAAGATTCAACTCTTCTATTCCAGTGCCCTGCTCAGAGCCACCTGAGGCCTGGAAACTGTGCACTAGAGAACACATCCCGGCAGTCCAGTCCACCCAGAGTCTGCCAAGGCCCCCATACTAGTCCAGCCACCATCCACGGGAAGAGTAGAGCCATCAGAGTATTGGACCTGCTTGCACACACTGGAAGGGAACTTTGAACCTGTTCCTACCAGGAGAAGAAGAGACTGCTCCTGCACCCACAGGAAGAAGGGATGTGAAGAAGACAATCTAAAAGCACATTCAACAACAGAGAAAACAATATGACACTACAACAGTAAGACCTGAACATCCCAACACAGATGAAGCAGAAGAGAACGACCTTAAAAACGACTTCATGAAAATGATACAGGCCCTCAAAGAGAATATGAGAAAATTCCTTAAAGAAATAAAAGAAAAAACAAACCAAAAATACAAGAAATCAACAAATCTCTTAAAGAAAGCAAGGAAAGCCAAGAAAAAAAAAACAATCAAACAAATCAAGGAAAAATTCAAACATGAAAATTGAAATAGAGACAATAAAGAAAACACAAACTGAAGGAATGCTGGAAATAGAAAAGATGGGTAAGTGATCAGGAACTACAGATGTAATCATAACCAACAGAATACAAGAGATGAAAGAGAGAATCTCAGGTGTTGAAGATACACTAGGAGAAATAGACTCACCAACCAAAGAAAATCTGAAATCCAACAAATCCCTTACACAAAATATCTAAGAAATATAGGACACCATGAAAAGACCAAGCCTAAGAATAATAGGTATAGAAGAAGGTGAAGAAACCCACCTGAAAGGTGCAGAAAACATATTCAACAAAATCATAGTACAAAACTTTGCCATCCCTGACTTCAAGCTCTATAATAGAGCAATAGTCTTGAAAACAGCTTGGTATTGGCACAAAAAATAGACAGGTAGACCAATGGAATCAAATAGAAAACCCTGATATTGACCCACACACCTATGAACACCTGATTTTTGACAAAGAAGCTAACATTATACAATGGAGAAAAGAAAGCATCTTCAACAAATGGTGCTGGCATAACCTGATGCTGTTTTGTAGAAGACTGCAGACAGATCCATGTC